CTTCGTTAAGAGTTAGTAGTGTTTTCCCTGCCCCCTGAGATCTATCCCGCCTCATGGTCAGGCTCGGCACAGTGTATGTACGTAGTGACAATAACACCAGGGGCCGGTTGTACAAAACTCTTAACCAGTTTTTTAATCACTATTTTGTAGTTAATTAAACAGTGGTCAACTTTAATTACCACGTAGTTAATTCGGTCGTATAAAAAAGTAGTTAGCGTTAACTGCAGTTGAAAAGTATGTAGTTAAAGTTATTTATGCTCTAGGGCGTCGTTAACTTCTCAAAAAGGAGTGAACAACATTTTTCAATAAAACAATAATAATGAAAAGCAACGCTGACCTGGAATTTTCAATCGCTATCTTCCCTGCATGTGAATGTTTTCCGACAATATAAACCCTTCAAACGCTATTGCTTTGGTTTTTTGGTGAAAACAAAATATGTCTTGCTCGGGAAGATTTCTCGAAGACGACGTAGGGCGCATATTTCACTTTGTTTTCTTGTTTGAAATTCTCGTCTATTTGCAAAATGCGAGTCCACAATTATGTTAAAAATGCTTGTAAGCGGTCGTTAATCATCTTAACTTTATGTAATTTTATTGTTTAACGTACCACTTCACGCATTAAGGTCCGCGCAAGTTAACTACGTGATTAGTTAATCATCCGACAAACTATACGTTTTCTGCAACGCAATTAAGTCGTGTAGTTAACTAATCATAGTTAAGGATTTAACTATAGTGATTAACGCTAATCATAGTTAGTTTAGTTTAGTTTAACTTTATTTAAATTAGAGGATAACACATGACATTAATAAAAATTATGACTCCGTGGTCTTCTACTATAAACACATTTTGCAAGAAACTTTATGTCTGCCATGTTTCAGCAAAGAATTCTTGACTGCAGCGATTTCCCGATTGAGACAAGTAATTGTAGTCTTGATTAACATTTATCATTATATGGCAAGCATAACGTCTGGTGAAATGAGAGGCACTTTCAGCGGTCCATTATTTCCCGTAATGGACCGGCGGTCCATTACGGGACCAAAAAGAAACGCATGCATTTTGAAAACGAAACGCATGCAAAAAGAAACGCATGCAAAGACCAAAAAGAAACGCATGCAAATGAAAATTTGAAAATTATAATTTAATTTGTTAAGATATCTGCGAATGGTTTTTAGTGGAAAAGAATTTAGGAATATATTGGTATTTTGTTTTCTTCGACCAAATGTGTACCACGCAACTTATATACATTCTTGTTTGTTTCAAGTATAAATGCCATACTGTATAATAAACTTTTTATTAACCTCGCTTGCTCGATATGTGCAGAGAAATATCAGACCTCGATCTTGTTGTGCACTCGCCCTACGGGCTTGGTCTGTATCTTGGTCTTGGTCTTACCTTGCGTTCGGTTAATAAGAAGTTATTACCGTTTACCTCTACTCATGCAGTATGAGAGACAGGCTAGCGAAATTTGTGCTTTTGTTGTTTTCACAAATTTTGCTGGTAAAAAGAAAAGCGTCCACGATAAATTTGGTCAGCGACGACAGTTTTTCACTTGTTGGTTTTGCTGGCAAACCGAGGGGTTTCTACAGGGTGTTTTAAAAAAAAGGCTATGGAAATTCAACAGGCTGTGGCGCATCATAACTTAGCTAAACAATTCAATTTTTACATACGACAAAAGAGCTGTTATTTAGCTTTTCTATGATACCTTTTGTAAATCGTAACGATGAGACATGGCCTCATACTCGTCAAATAAAAATTGCCGGTCGAAATCACATTCTTACACCGTTGGGAATTGCATGGAAAACGAAACACTAAAGGAATACCGAATGGTTTTCCCTGCAGGATTGCGTGATCCACGCACGCGGGATGTTGCGAGACTTTCGGAAACGCTTTCCGAAAGTCGAGCAACATCCCAAGTGCATGGTCATACTATCCTGCACGGGAAAACCATTTGGTAATTGTTTTATAAAATTACTACAGTGAAACGACGATTAACTTGATTAAAATTACTGATGAAATGTGCAGTTCTCACAACAATCCTGAATTAAACAATCAGAGAATCGCTACTCCACGCTATTGAAAACAACAACATATGTGAACAGAATTTGATCACAAATAAATATTGGCGAAAATATACAGCGAAAATACAGGGACTTTTTCGATAAAATATACGAAATTTGAAATGGAAAACCCGCTAAACAGAGAGCCAAAGTAGTTTTGAAGATTCTCGACCTGAATATGTGAGGATTGCGAAGCGTTTGATCAACTTTGAAGCGAAAGATGTTGTACTTGCATGCCATGGTCTGATGAATTTCAACGCTACGCGTTGCTACTTGCTGAATAGCAATGTATCGATCAGAAATTTATTTATACAACTAAACCAACGTCTCAATAATTGCAAACTTACTTCAAAATCGAAAGGTATCGTACAATGAAACTTTACAATGCGAGTATATTTGTAAAATTATGTGCAAGAATTTCTGTTCAGAATTTCCCGTGCAGGATTGTCTGATCCTGCACAGCTGTTGACCAATCAAATTGCGTGTTTCACTGTAGTTATTATATAAAGACAATACCCAAGAGGGAATTAAAGTTGAATGTTAAATTATCTAAAATGAGCTCAACTCGTCAATCTTTAGTGAGACAATAAGACATGATTCAGTTGTGATGATTCAATTCAAGTGAGACATGGTTCAATTAACCACTGAACAGAGAACATTCGTAATCAAAACGTTTTACGAAACAAATACCTTGCAGCAGGCTCGCATTGCTTTTTGGATTGATTAACTTTGCATAATTAATGTACTTGTAATTCCCAATGGTTGAAGAATGTGATTTTGACAGGCAATTTTTATTTGACGAGTATGTCGCCATTGCTCATCATTACGGTTTAAAAAAGATATCATAGAAAAGCTAAATAACATCTCTTTCGTCCTATATAAAAATTGAATTGTTTAGCTAAGTTTATGATGCACAACAGCCTGTTGAATTTTCATAGCGTTTTTTTGGGGACAGCCTGTACATGCATGTATTTTTGGACGTATAGTGCTTCCTAATAAATTTAGTGAATATTTTTTTATTCAACCTTCCCCGGAGGAGGATTTTCCCTAGAACCCTTTGACGGTAAAATCGTATGGCATTAGTCAGGGTAAAATAACAAACTCTCCATCAGTCATTAAAAGGCTTGATTTTACCTTTATTGGAATATCAGTTTGTATAGATGATCAACTAGCCAAACGGCTCATGCAATTTTGCCACAATTTTCAAATAGCACGAGTAGGGAAAATCCTTGGTTGTACAACCAAATTAGCACGAGTAGGGAAAATCCTTTGTTGTACGACCAAATTAGCGGTCACTGAATTTCAAACGGCTCCTGATCGTTGAAATATCCGCTTAAAGGCGAAAACCTAATCCGTGAATAAAAACCCCAGAAAATCTGACAATCATTTTGTTTGCCTGAGAGCTATACTTATGCATAAATTATAAGATTATTTATTTAAAAATATTTCCATGTTTGTAAACAAGGTGTTGAGAAGATAGCATTGTTAGTATAGGTAATAGCATGGTTTCGTGTGCAATTTGGATATAACATATTGCACGAGTGAGTTTTTCAAAGACCTTAAAATAGCACGAGTCCGAAGGACACCAGTGCTATTTGAGGTATTTGAAAAACTCACGAGTGCATGTTTATTCAAATTTCACGAGAGACCATGTTACGTAAAAATGTTCGAGACAATTGTAGTTTTAACTAACGTTTATAGCGAGCCGTCCCCTGGGAAAGTTCGCCTTGCTTTGTTATATCGATCACATTATACAACGCTAACAGCTTGAAAATTGCACTCAACTATTTAGGCTTTGTAAGTCTTGTTTAAGTTAAAGGCTTTTCCATTTAAAAAAAGTAATATTTTGAAACCGAAGTCAACTTTTACTTTATGCAGCGCCGCGCCATGTTTATTTTGAAGCAATCTGTGACCGTTCATTCTTTGAACTAAATTGCTTTAACTGATTGGTTGGTTTTATCATTACATTGTTTTTCCACCAATCCGATCAGTTTGTTACAGTTTTTTGCACTGTGATTACAGAAAATTGCACTGTGATTACAAAATACTGCACTGTAATTACAGAAAATTGCACTGCTGTTTGGGATTAACTGCACTGAATAATGTATTTCGAGTAATATTTTTATGTATATTATTAACCTAATATTAGATTAACCGGCTCTCGAACAACCGATCCCAATTCCACATGGAGTAAGATTTTCTCGACAGTCAGCCTTGAAAATTTTTTCTCATTTAATTTCAGGTGATTCTGGGATTTGGTTCGATGATGCTACTTTCAAAGCAAAAGCTGATCTTAATACCCTCTTAGAAATGATTAAAAAATGTCGCTCTTTCTCTTGCTGTCTGATCGAGGGTTGTACCATACTTGAATCATTACTTCGCATTTTCCAGTCACAGAATTCCATGAGACAGCTTACTCAATTACAGATACTAAAAGAACTCGGCTACCTTTACCTTGAAGCCACTGACTATCCAAAATCAATTGAGTACGCCCAGAAGCTTCTAAATTTGGCCGACATGTTGAACGTTCAGAATTTCAAAGCAGATGCCGATTATTTACTTGGTACAAACTACGCCCATCAGAACTCGTTCGAGAAAGCACTGTCGCATTTAGACGCATATAAACAATACTGCCATGAGACCGCTGACGAGTTAGGCAAAGCCAAAATATTGTTGACGCGATCCCAAATTGCTTGTCAACGTCACGAAGATGAAACATTTTTACTGTATGCAAAGAATTTTCTCGAGAAAGCGAAAACAGCAAACGATGAAATACTAGAAACTAAGGCCCTGGTTAATCTTGCTATTGCTCATTTGCGCCTTTTTGACATACAAAAAAGCTTACACTTTTCCGAAAAATGTTTGCAATTAGCTAAAAAAAATTGTCATGCCAAATTGGAGATAGAAAGCAAGTTTTCAAAGGCCACTGCATATTTAGTGTTGGGAGAAAATGAGAAAGCGTATTGTATGCTTATGGAATGCCTTAAGTTCCTTGAAACCGATCACAAGAATAAAGATTTAGAATCCATGGTTTTGGGCAACATTAGCTATGCAGCCCGTCATTTGAGCCAGAAGTACGATAGCAACAAGCTGAGGAAAGAGGCCTTGGTATTTATCCAGAGAACTCTATCAATTTCCGAATCTATTGGTAATTCTAGTTATGTTGCCCTCGGTCATTTAAATATAGGTCTGACGTATATGGAATGTTACGAAGACTACAACAACGCTATCAAACATTTCCATGAAGGTTTAAGAATGGGAGCGGAATTGAAAATCACCAGACTTATTCACAACTGCTACTGCAGCCTCGGTAGGTTACACGAAGCCAAAGGAGAAAGGCAGGTCGCGCATGAGTATTTCACGAAAGCGCTCGAAACAATCGACCCACCTTGTACTCACTGGGGTGAAGCGGACAATCTACAATTCAGCCCCGACTACTGGCTGGCATTACAGCACATCAGCGGGAAAAAGTGGAAAGATGCTGTGAAATGCCTTCAAGGAGTGATTCAAAGATGTAAACGTCAAGGTAAGAGTGTCAGTGACAGCCTTCTCAAAATATCCTTCAACGACAAGCTGACAAAGCCATACCAATATTTACAGTATGCTTATCTCGAAATGGAAGCCACTAAAGACGCTTTAGTCATTGGTGAAGAAGGTAGAGCTCGAGATTTTTACGACAAACTGGTAGACAGAAGCGACAATATCATTGAATCTACCCCCAACCCAGATCTGTTCAAGATCTCCAAAGCTCACAATACAGCCGTGTTATTTTTATCTCAGCTGACTGTCGTAGGTCGAGTGTATTGTTGGTTTATCGGAAGCGATGGCAGAATCGTAGATGTATTTTGGGTGTCACAAGACAAGTGGAAACCATTGCACACCAAATTGTGTGTTATCATGCACGAATTTGCAGTTCAGTGGGAGAATTCAGAGACATCCATTGAATACAGAGGAGTGGAGACGTTGGAAGATGACACTGTAGTTTTGTTTCCTAAATATTTACAAAGCCTTAGCGAACACACAGAATCTTCAAGGAACAACGCGTTCGAGAAGGATGTTTTGGATCCAGTTTCTGGCTCAAAACATTTGTCCAGCCGATTTGCGAAGGAAGAAAGCAATCAAAGTATAACAGGAGCCAACGAATCGATTCTAAGATCAAACCATAGCTCCATATCTCGGGCCCAATCATGTTTTTCTTTGAGACACGAGGCAGCAACAAGTTCAAAGAAAGGTTCAACAAATCCAATCGAAGAGTTATCGAAGATTACCAATGAAATAAGGTAAATTATATTCCAAGTGAAACTTTGGGAAAATTAATGTATTTCTAAACCGTAGCTTCTCATACCATTTAAAATAGATTAATGAACTCGCGTTTCGATAACGAAATAAATTGTTCTGGAGTTCGTCTTTAAGAGTCCAACTGTTTTGGGCTGCTTCTGATGTCCAAAAATCTATCCGTGAGGTAAATATTCTTTTTATTAATCAAACTGACATGACGACGTTTGTTCTGCATACAGAAAATCTTTAGTACTACCAATCCTAACCAGGCAATGAAAAATCTAAGAAATACAAAATTATGTCGAATCGTTTTAATAACTGAAACAAAGACGATACCAGTTGACAAGTCATTGAATTTATTTCTTTTTTCTGATTTTGATAACTAAAAATGCTCTTTGATAGCTCCTAAAAAGGTTAGTGTCATCAAACACGTACAGTATATACCACATTCAGGGCGTAGTAAAACACGGGCGGTGAAACGCGCTAATATTTGCCTGATCCATGTGTGATGCACGGGAGACTGGCGCGAGCATGCGAAATACGCGGATGAAGCGGGATTTTTAAAGATGAAGCGAAGCAAAAACAAGAGACAAAAATATTTAAAGGGCAATCAAAAAGTGCAAATTTTTAAGGTAAATTTATCCTTAAAATGGAAAAAAATTAACCTGTTATAAAATAGAGACTCTGGCAATTAATTAGTATTGCAAATTACATCGCTGGAGTTGGAAAAGCATTTTTAAAATGTGAAATTATTTGAAGGCATAGCGATTTTATCATAAAATTTATTTACATTTTCAGGCAATGACAAATTGTAGTCGAGTTTTTTAGCCAGACCGAGTGGAAAAAAAGTTAACTTCAACCCTTTAAATTATCTATAATTAGTTATACTTTCGATCTGAAAAGGTTAGAAAATGGGC